TGAAGCGACACGCCCCTTCTATCTCGGGGAGCCGACGATAAGTCTTTCACCTGCTCATCATTGAACAGCTCGTGCACTTTTGCAAGTGTGACTGGTGTTCCTCGAAGTTGCTAGATTGAAAAATAAATGATAAGTTCAACGTTATGACCGCTTATGCACGGCTCGTTTCAAGCAGACTGTCTGCGTGTCTCCCCAAACGCGCAAAGTGTGCGAAGAGTGCGCATACGGAAGAGACGCAGACAATCCGCAACAGCGCCTATTCCGTAAGTAGGAAGATCACCACTATGCGCATTCCCAAACCTGCACAACTTTTCGCTCCTCTTTCTTTTGGCTTTCTAACGATTTGAAAGAATTCTGCCGCTTAATAAATTCGATCTCCAGAAGCAGATAGTCATGTACGCGGTTATGCTTCAGAAGACGAAGGAGGCATTGGCGTCGTGGAAGTACTGCAATATACAATACCTAATGCAGGCTAATTTTGCGGTTTACGCACTGTTTGGCAATTTATTCACATGTTCCAGGCCTTTCACTCGTTTCATCGACACTTTCATAGCAGCATGTTCAGGCTTCTCACGTTTTCGCTGCAATCCACCAAGCCGATTGCCCATTGTTAGTGCGAGTCTGAACATTGACCAATCACATGCCGAGGAGGCGGAGCTGAACTCAGCCAATGGCAACAGCAAGGCGCAAGCGCACCAGTAGGGTTAGTTAGCGGTTAGAGATGAGCGACCTCAGAGGGACCGCAATGTTAGTATAAATGAAGCTCACTTCTTTTTTGAGCCCCTTATATGTTTCCAATATTTTATCGACCCAGACCATAATATAATATCATTCGATTGCAACGGCTGGAGCGACTACACTTCTAAAGTGATTCTCAAGAAACGAGCTGAAGGCACTATGGTCGGCAGATTCAGGTTTGGAAAAGTCGTGCAGGGGAGAGCAGACGACAAAAATCAACAACGCGGTTGCCATTTTCGTCCCAGAACCTATATCCACACTTCCCGATCCTATACTCGCTACATACTGAGGGATTCCTGTTATCGCGTTATAGTATCCCAAAACAAACTGTAAAAAGACTTCTCTTTGCGAAAGACCCCCTCCACGTCTTTGTAGAAGGCATCTAGTACTGATTCATCAGGTCCTGATGTTGGAGAGTAGCAGTCGATGATGCTGATGGTCTTCTGAGATGAAAGTCGTAATCATAGGATGGCTAGAGGTGCCAGGATCTCATGCGAATCGACAAGATGGACGAT